GTGAGTGCTGGAGCCGCGAGACACAGTAGGGAGGAGGGGCTCGGTGGGAGGCCTCACGTGCACCCTCGCGGTGGGCTCGGCGGCCGCGGGCACGAGAAGGAAGGCCGAGTGTCCCTTTCCCGAAGGTCCCGCCTCGGCGTCCCTGCTGGGCGTCTGTTATTGTTGCCGCCCTTCCGGTTCTGTCTGCTCTGCTTTAAGCCTTCCCGAGCGAGGCCACAGCCGGAGGCCTTGCAGGCTGTGCCTTTTAACCTCGTGCGAAGACGGAGACCCTTGGACTGTAGGACTGTGGCCCAGAGTCTTTGGGACAGTTAGAGGCAGGGGCCGGGACTCCAAGTCTTGCAGAGCAGGCGTTTGTCCCCCTTGTCCGCACCTCCACAGGATTGTCTATCTTCGCGTCTCCACTGTCCCCCTTCGGTTTCGGGACGTAGGTGTGCCTGGGGAGGGTCCAGGGTTGTCGGCTTCTCTACTCCTGCCCCTGCAGCTGGCCCCGAGGAGGAGGCGGGGCGGGGCGGGGCCGGGCAGGCTTTCTGTGAGTGGGCTGTCTGGACCCAGCGCACCTGCAATGTTACTGGACGCTGAGGGTTGGAGGTATCTGGGCCTGGGTCTCTGAGGGAAGTGGAAAGACCCTTTCCCAGCTTGCCGAAATCGCTTGCAGAGACCATGCATCTGTCCCAGAGTCTGCGGCCCTCGGGTGCAAGAGCTGGGAGAAGAGGTTTCTTGGGCCCCTCCCCCACTGCCTAGAAAAAGCCCCTGACTAGTTCCTGAAGCCAGATTTTGGTTCCAGTCTGTACTTCGGTTTCTTCATGCATGCAAAGAAAGGGGAAGAGAAGGGAGGGCAAGAGGGAAGACTCATTCCAGAAACTTGGTTTGTGTTGGATTCACAAGGCGTAAAGGTTTACGTTTACAGAGACTTGCACTGATTGTTATTTGCAGGTTAAACTACTTTCATTTCAAAGGGTTTTTTTTCTTTTCAAGCCCCTGGTTTGGGACTCCAATCACATAGTTGGCCATGTGCGTTCCAACCACCTTAACCACCATGCCATCTGCTGCCCCTTGGTTAGGATTTTTAAAGGGAGTTATTCTTTTTTGTCAGACTCTTTTGTTCTTTCCTTTGTTTCTTTCTCCCTTCCTTCTGCCAGGTACCCTGTAGACTTGCCAGAGAGAAAGAGGGAGAGGGAGGAGGCACCCACAGTGGGATGTGGTCGTGCCACAATCCCTTCTCCACTTCTCCATCTTGTCAGGGTTTGGGGCAGCCCAGCATGTTTGCCTAGCCACTGGGTCTAGGATTCGAATTGTGCATTTGGCCATGTGGGATCTGACTCCCTTAACCACCTGGCCACCATTTTTTTGAGCCTGGCTGTTTTTATAGTTACAGGCATTTATTGAATGCTACTGTGTACCGAGAGTCTAACTTGTACTACCTTTTATAATCCTATCACAACTTCATGAGGCTGATAGTTTTATAGTATGTTTAGCTGATAAGGAAACTGAGGCACAGAGAGGTTAAATAACTTGCCTGAGGCTAGTTAAGGAATATCCCTCGGGGCGTTTGAACCCAGGCCTCTGGCACCATGGGACACCCCCGCCTCAGCACTGTGTCATGCTGTCTTGACTTCAGATAGAAGAGCCAGGCTGGCACCCAGCCCTGAAGACATCCTGCAGCCCAGGGGCTGGTGATACCTGCTGTGGGGAGCTGGACTATTCGCCCGGGATGGTAGAGACTGTGCTGCGGCAGCTCAACCTGGAGCTCCTGAGGCAGCTGTGGGTCGGGCAGGATGCCGTGCGGCGGTCGGTGGCCAAGGCATCCTCAGAGGTAGGAGCCCCCATTGGCAACTCCCAGGGGGTGAGAAAGGGGCTGCCCAGCCCTCAGGCCAGCATCTAGGCCTCTGGAGTTGTCTTGTCCAACATGCCCATTTTAGTGCAGATGGTGAAAGCCAGAGCCTAGTGTGAGAAGGGACCGCCCTGGGGCACTGCGGGGCTGGAATGGGCTGGAGATCGAGGCTCGTGCAGGCCGGGAAGGTGGGCTCTGGCCGGGTCGCTCCTGGGTGATGTGGCCTGTCTTTCCAGTCAAGCCTGGATTCCAGTATCAGCTCTAACTCAGAGACGCCATCATACCAAGAGACTTGCTCAACCTCCTCGAGAACCTACTGCCCACGAGACCCGCTGGATGCCTTCCAAACTGACCCCCGTGATATGACCAGGCCTGGCCTATCCAGGGCAGCATCTCTCCCACCGGCTAAGTCCCAACACCAGCAGTACCTGGGCCGACCAAGGCCCCACTCAGCACCCTTGCCAACCACCTCAGACTTGAATGACCCAGAGCCTGTGGCAGGGCTGAATGATCTGGGGCTCCAGAAAGCACAGGTCCTGAGGTCCCTCGAGGCTCGACAAAGCAAGCCATCCAAGGTAACCTGGGAGAAGCTGGCATCTGCTAGTGGGAGTTCCCTTGAGTCTCAGTTTTCCTGTCTGACAAAGGGGTTGATGGGCAGCCTCCCTTGCAGGGTGAAAGGCTTTCTGGAGATACCAGGAGTTGTTTCTGGCTCAGCCTAAGCATTTGTTTCGTGGCCAATACTTTGGGAAGAAGGCCATTACACAGATGGGAAGGCCAAGGCTCAGAGGCTTGACCTGTTCAAAGTCACACGTAAAGTAGGACCACACTCTGTCTTCTAGTTCACGAGCCCTGGGCTGAGCCTTGGGTCGAAGTCAGGGTATAGGTTAAGACGCGGTCCATTTTCTTCCCTGGGGTATGTCCTTTGAGCTAGGCCTGTTGACCTTGGCACTCACCCTCTCTCCTCTTTGCCTGCCTCCTCAGCCCAGAGTGACCTTCTGCGAGGAGCAGTCTGAGGAGGAGTCTGCAGTGCCAGAAAAGAGCTGGCGCCTCAGGCCGTACCTGGGCTACGACTGGATTGCAGGTAAGTGCCACGGCACACACACCTTGCCTGGGATGGGGAGGCCCTGGCTTGTCTGTGCGCCTGCCTGAGCCCTGATCTTGCTGACTTCCTGCTTGTCGATTCTCGGGGTGAGGCTCAGAGACGGCGTGTCTGTTAAATGAGTGTTAGGTCGGAACAGCCTTGTTTTGAGCACTTCTGCTGAGCCAGCCCCTGCACAGCTGGGTCTGTGTGCCATCTCGTCCCACAGCCCAGCTCCCTGGCCGTAGCCTCAGAGCCTTCTGCTGGACTTCTTTGGCCTCTTGCCCTAGTACTCTTGGGTGTGTGTGTTCACATTGATGCTCTTGTGTTGTCAAACACCCGAAGGGGTGATTTAGGAGAATAGAGCTTTATTTGGCTTATGGACCTAGAGGTGGAGAAGTTTGAGTGTGGTGCTGCCCTCTGGTTAGTGTCGTCTCACGCCATGGGAGAGAGCACAGCATGTGTCTGTCTCATTCCCTCTCCTTATGAACCCTCCAGGCTTCGATCACGGGGCCTACCCTGACGCTTAACCACCTCCCAGAGGCCTCACCTCACAACCCCACAACTGGATTAAGTCTTCACCCTCCCAACACCAGTTATGATGGACCACCAAGGTTTTTTTTTAATTAAAAAAATTTTTTAATTGGGGCGAGCAGGTGGGGTGGTGGTTAAGGTGCTGGACATTCCCACATGGCCAACCATGGTTTGAGT